TATTGGAAATAGAAATACTCCCCTCATATATGTGAGAGACTAAAATATATATACATTAGATAAATACACATATCTTATAGATAATTTAACACGGGCTTTAGGAGTGTTCAAATATGAATGCATCTTGAACGTTATATTGTTCAATTTTGCCAGAAACACAAACTGGGAAGATATTAGCTTTACCCATTAAAAGCCGTTTACTTTAGTTGTGACTTTAAGTCACGTTATATTGTCCACTCGTATATTTTAACACAACAATGGTTGACATGACGTTTAAAATGGTCGTTTATTGACAATCGTTGTTTCTTTGGCATTTCTCTCTATCGGTCGAACGTTTAAACAAGTGTCTAAAATAGCATATCTGGCCTAGTGTGTGAAGAAATTTTCGATGAAATATGTTCTGTATATGGACAAAATGCAATGCCATTTGATCAGTTATTCGTTGGTTTAATACATTCAAATTGGGTTAATTTCGAATAAGGATGCAACCCATGCCAATTGGCCTAGAACGATAAGTAAAGTATGTCAAAATGTTTGCTTAAGTGAAAGAAATAGTTAATACCGATGTACTGATGTACCACTATGTAAATAGCTAGAGTCGTTGGCATCTCATTAGGAGCAGCTGATTATACCTTACTTAAACGTGATTTGATGTAAGAAAGATATGTGCTATATGGATTTCAAATTAGTTAACCGATGAGTAGAATAAGGCCCGAGTGCAAAGTAACATGTTGTTGCCTAAAATGTATCCAGACAACAATGCACTTTTTGCTTTTGCTGTTGTCATTTAACCTTATTTTATTTCTTATTTTATTTTTGGAAATGATGTAACTGGTGACGAAAAATGTATTATTGATTTTTTTGAGCCACAATGAGAGCACCAAAACAATATTTGAATCGTAGAATAACAGCTAAGTGTAGTCTTAGCAATTATACGAAACCCTATGAAATTGATATAAATTGAATACCTATTTAAGTTATTTTATTTCATCAGAAAATGACATTATTTAAAGGACTAAAATTACTAGCGATTTTTGTTCGTAACGTTTCTCGGATTTGGGAGAATTTACTTCCCGTTTCACACGACTGCTGTTAATGCGTGACAGTGAATTTACGTAAATATCTAAACACATTGTATTATAAGACTTTTTATGCAGTAACTAAGTAATAAAATGTGTTTATAAACAATAAATAATGTACCTGCTACTTGTATTGTGTAAAGATAAAAAAAATATTTTCTACACTGCTTGTATTTCTAAATTTATATGATCATTACGTGGCTCTGATTGATACAGGGGATTTAAGGTGGTTAAAGCTAGGACACCTTAATTCCTGTGTAAATAATTGTTCTAAACACCTACAAACGCTTTAATATCAGAAAATTATTAATAATCCTAACTATTCTAAACGTCATGTTTATTATATATCATACAATATTTACACATTTAAGGTACATGCAATAGTTTAATATAGATATATAAACTATGCAGACAAAACTGTATATCTTAATTAACATAAAATGTTCATGATCTTAGAATATGAAAACAGTTTTGTGCCATGGAGCTCAATTTTGCATTATCTGACATTGAACATATTTTTTATTTCGTGTCGTTTGAAGTCTGGCACACCTTTTTGTTTTTACTATTGGGTTATATTCTTTATAACGTCATTTTTTTGTTAATTTACAATCGAAAAAAAAATTAAAAAAATTAAACATATCGCTCTAAAACTGAATTTGAATTTTTTCCATACTAACCTTAAAGTTAAGAAAAAGGTATATTATCTATCAATAAAACTTCAAGTGGAGTTTAAAACAATCGTGAAATGGCTGTGAAGTATTATTGTTACACAACCGCTGTGCACTGTAAATTTTAAGAAGGGCCGAATTAAAATCTACCTTGACGAATGTCTTTTTAGTTCCGAGCACTTTTGAATGAGAATCATATAGGCGAGGAAATTCGATTGTGTCCGTACAAGTGCTCGTTTTAGACTGTAATATGGCGGTTAGCCTAAATCAATTCCGTTGGTAAAAAGCAAATAAATTTGCCGATTATCTGACACTACGAGTCTTATATTTAAGGAAAATTCTGATACGCGCGTATTTGTTTATCATTATGCCTTTGGCATAAATCAAGTTTTGAAAAGTAAAGTATCAAATAATAAATAGCACAAAATAAAGCTTAAATTCTTAAAGTTTTAGTCCTTTCTGAAATTTTAGCATTTAGCCGCCATCTTGGCACCACAATGGTTACCAATGTCGTCACGCTTTTGACTTTTAATGAGTGGTTCAACAATATAGAAATATAGATGTACAATGTAATTATAATACAGTAATATTCTTTTTTAAGATTTACCTTTAATGCCTTATCAACAAAATTAAAAAAGCGGCCTTTCATGTTGTTGTTGATGTTTGTTTTAATTTTTTAAAGCCAGAACTACACCACATAGTTCTTTTCAGAAGATCTCAAACGGTAAAATCTTAGAAGATATAATAATAATCTATTTAAATTTGTTCAAGACGAACTTATATGAATAAAAAAACATCAGATATATTATTGCAATGCAATGCATCAGCTTTTAAAATCCGATACGTTTCGACAAATGCAAAAGCGCTCCTTTAGATACTATTAGAGAAAATGTGTTTTACGCAGGATTCAATTTAGTTTTGTAACACAATATAACGTCTTTGTAAATATCCTTTAGTACAACCTCACTATTCATTAAATATGGAGATAAGGGAAAATTGCCTTTCACAAGTGTACTTAATAATAAAACAAACAAAAAATAGTTTTGCATGAAGTTATAAATGGGTCAACAAGTATAAGAATGTTGCTAATCCGCAGTGTATGTATGCGTTTTATTCAAAATCAAATAAGGATAAAACAATAAATGGATAAAACTTGTCTGTAACTTATATTGATATAAAAACGAAATAAATATACCAATATTTTCAGAAATCACATTTTCAAAGATTGTGTATATATATAAATCGAAAACTAAATGTATGTTTCAGATACAATGAATTTCAACTTGATTTAAGGATTTTTCAAGGTGTTTTCATTTAAGTTGTGGGTATATATCAGTTATATCAGATAATATATTAAATACACGTATATTTTATTATATAAAAACGTCAATCGTTGGTCAATGTTGAAAATAAGGTTTTATTAAATAAAAATTATATTCAACAATAAGTAATGAAATTTGAGTACTAAAAGTTTTTGTTGGAATATGATCTCAACACTTCACTAGAAACACAAATATCTGTGTAACCTTCATCTTTACAACTACAAAATATACAGCGCACAGGTAGAATAAATCACTTTTTAGGTCCTGGTGTCATTTAAACTCATTGGGTGTTTACATTCATCCATTTTAAGTTCGAAAATGTCTGCAGCTAGCTAAATTGCCAATTGTATGTTTGTTTCAATACAGGTAATATCGTCGACCTTGATGGTTGGTCTTTTTACCTGACAATGAGTGTCGCGAATTGAATTCATCAGGTTGCATCCACATTGAAACTTCATTCACTAAGTTTCAGTGAATTAGATTGATTTGTATTGAAATAAATTTTCATAAACGATTGCTTAGGATATAAGGTTAACTGTCCCCGACGCTGACGTTGACATAAATCTCCATTTTTCTTCAATTATAACAAAAAAACTAGCAGTAAGATTTCAAATATATATAATTTGCTGATTAAAGCTATTGTATTGGTATAGATTTTCTGATTCATTACATTTTTTCTTATCATAGATATAATGAAAAAAGACAATACGGCTGTTTAAAAGGTTCATGGACTGTTGCTCTATTGTCCGCATTTTTTAATTAGCGTGCACAAAACACATTGGAACATGTCCCTAATAAACAGTGAAAAAATAAATACAATATATTCAACAAAAACAAATCTGTGAAAATTCCAAATAATAGGGGATACGCGACTCGGCGCACGCTCATTATGCAATATCAATGAAAAATATCATCCTCGTCATTGTTTTTGAAAGTGTTCAAAGTCTTCGGACCAAATCATCAATAACATATTTATGTGTATTATGATAAAGCGAGAAAAAACAGCGTTCACAATTTTGCTTAATTCTCCACAAGCCGAAAGCCGGCTACTTTTCGTTCTTTTTCGAGATTTTTGAGTAATCTCGACACTAATCGGTCTTAAGAATTATCAGTCTTTATATTATTTTATCAAATGACAATTACACTCTGCGGTATCTACTGCACACCGACTAGCTTTTGTCATAAAACAAATCAGGGCAATACATGCAATACAAATAGTAAATACATATATTTATTGTAAATATGCGTATATCCTCATGAATAAAATACGATATTGCTTAAATTAAATTGTTTGGTCAGAATTGAATGTGTTCGACGGTTGCACAAATAAAACATCCTGGAAACACTCCGCAAACCTTTCATAACTTCCGCATTTCTTCGTGTATAGATAATTTTTTGCCAATTGAACAATTTACTGAACAATTTACCCGCTTTAGCCGCCCTTTCCTCCCCGCCCCCTTTCTTCTTATTAGCCGAATATGAAATCGCTTAATTCCACCTGAAAACCGAGAGGACTTCGCTTCCGACATTACCCCTTTTATTAAATCTTAAACCACTTATTTCAGATTAATTTCATTTAAATGTAAATAGATGATAACCCGCTTTTGCATTTAGAAAACTGAAACGTTATATTTAATTCATTTGATTATATTTTAACATTATAAGATCATTTCGGAATGAGCCTATATAACGTTGCCATGGTATGTATGTGCATAATTATATAACATTGCCATGGTAATTAAAATTCACGTGATTTAATGTATGGAATGATAATGAGTTCTACCATTTCTCACTCTAGCAGTTTTCTTAAAATGTTTTAAATGAAAAAATAATCAAACATGCACAAACAGTGAATGACACATTTATTTGTTTGTAAATAAAAGTACGTTTAAAACTTTATAAAAAAAACTAAAGATGGAATTTGTTTTAATGAAATTCAATGTGATACGACAACGGATAGCAGAGAATAATAGAATATTAGTTATAATTAAATTGATAGGGCTCTTTTCCGTGATCACATTCTATAGATAATGTCAAAAAAACGAAACAATGTTCACGAAAAATAGATTTGAGTTACAAAATATCCAAACAATAAATGGAAAAAGAAAAGTAATAATAATTACAAATCGACTTTACATAAACACGGTGTATGCTATCGATGTCTTTTTAACAGTTTAGGTCTATATTGCTGGGGTTAAATAACCTCTGTTTGGATACTTGTCCGCTTCCAGAGTTTGCAATTCCGTGTATCTTTCATCATCAAAACAATGCTCATACAGTTGGCTATAGGCATGCATTGTATGAACTGTATGAACATCAGGATTGAAATTCAATGATGTCTGACTTCCTGAGATGATCTCTAAAGAAATAAAAAAAACATTTTTACCAAAATAATAAACTTTTAACATGTAGGCTGTACCCTTGATATTTTTATAATATTTTGTAATCTGTTAATAAACCTTGCAGAACGTCTTTTATTTTTTTCAAAACAAAAATATCTCTTGTCATATCATATTTTTTATTTGTTTTAAATATTTTTTTTGATATCAAACAAATAAGGTATATGTTGACATACATACTAGGGCCACTCTGAATGAAAAAAAAACACATTCAATGAGTCCCTCATCTTTGATTTTTAAACATGTTCATTCAAGGCAGTTATTCAAGATCACCGTACTGTCACGTTTTTATCTTAATTGTTACTAAGTGAGTCTTTATCTGAATGTTAATGAAACAAAATTCATAGCTTCATAACATAGTATAATACTTACCAGCTGTTTGAGTAACGGATAGGTTAAGGGTTCCTCTTCTTCTGGAATTGAAAGGTTTTAAAAAGTATTAACTGTCTCAATACCAGTATTAAATTTTCCTTTAACCAAAACTATAACTTCACAATTTTTAAGCGGAGTTTATATTTGATTATTTCGTACACTGATAAAGTGTAGAAAACTGTACATTGGATATGTGTTGTTGTTTTTTTACTAACTTACATATGTTTTGTTTCTTTTTATTCTGTTTTCTTCGTAAAATCTTTGACGTTTATATTTTTATAAGTATGCTATATTTAGCATCTGGTGTGCGGTTACTTATTTCATTGCCACACAATTTCAATTTTACATTACCTTATAAATACCATTACAACAACTGAAATGGTGAAAACAAATGTTCCAACTGAAACGCATGTTATTACCCACTTCATTGTAGAGTATGTTGTCTGTTGTGTTGCTGTAATTGTGGAAAGAAAAATGATATGGAAAAAATGAGGCTAGGCTTACTGAATATTAAAACACGCTATTTGTTTCAAGGTTCAAGGTTAAAAAGGTAAATGTTAACTTTAAAAATACTATATTTCTATCTATATCTATCTATATTCTGTCGCTTATATAAAGACAATGTTATCAGTAAGTATCAGACCATATACAGTTATATTAATGCTAGTAAGAATCACATTCATATCTTAGTTTGCATAGGACAGATTGTTTTTAAACAAGATTGTTCAATCACATTGTCTACAAGATTTACTATCTTTAAGAAATATAAAAGCGCAAGGTTCACCAAGCCCCAAAAGGCCCCATTTAAGATATTGATAAGACACTTAATGTGTAGAGAACTAGGAGGGTCAATTTGGTGTGTAGTTGGTAGTTTGATTTTCGAATAACGAACTACCTACTAGCTGAGAGTTCGTTATTCGTAATCCCCAACTACCTACCAGCAGGTAGTTGGTAATCGAACTGTGCATGTTTTCCTCTAAAAAACAGAAAGTACCTATATAATTTTTCGGAATAAATAAAATGGATAAAACTTATATAGCATGAAACACCTTGTTTAACTATGTCCATCAGCGGAATCAAGTTGGTTATAGTTTAAAATATTTATGACTATTCTGCTTTACCTTTTTAAATTTTTAAATGGAAAGCCTGAATCTATAGAGAAAAATTAGGGTTTTGACGTAAAATTTTTTTAAGCAATGTGAGATATATTACAAATTCTACATCTTACAAAACAATAAAACCACTAATGACCGATTACAATTTAATTATTATTACTTATTAATAAGTGACTCAAGCAGTATTTTTATAGTGACTAGTGCTAACTAGTTAGATTTATAAATGAACTATTGTTTTTATTTGTCGAGGAAACTTATGTACTACTGACCAAATGAATGTAAGAAATCTTTTCATTTTGTATTTTACACAAACTGTTTAAATCTATATAATCCACATTATCATTGTCCATGACAAAATTTTATTTTGCTCATTAACGTGAATGGCCTAAACTTAATTTGATCTAAAACTCAACTTTAATAGCACTTATTTATTGTTAAAATCAAAAATACAAATATTAAACATTGATTCTCTTTTCGGTTAATTAAACAAGTATTTTAGCCATTATCAGCAAAAACTTGATTTAATTAATTTACAGTGGCAACGTACATGTTTATTATATTGAAATAGCACTTCGTTCCACATGAAAACAAGACAATGGCAGATGCCAAACGAATAAGACATATGGCATGGTCTTTAAAGAGTTGGTTTAAATTATTTCCAAAATGCTTTATAGCAGGATACCATATTTAGTTTATGATTTGGATTTTAGATGCAAATGATATATCCTCAGTTTTATTCCGGAATAATTATTTTATATTTACCATTTGCATTTAGAAAATACAACTGTTCTAAGAATCCAACTGCATTATGTATCCTCAGTTTGTATTGTCCGTAATCTTCTTCTGTAATAACGCTTATAGTTAGACTGGAATAATGTCCACGCGTTCTGATTTCGTATTTCACGTCACTACTAATTGTCTTCCATGAAGAGTTGTCAAATTTATACCATAGGAATTCCGGTGCTGGATAGGCAATTGCTTTGAATGCAAAAGTAACAGTTACATTCTCTGCACTGGTAATGTTTGTTTTCAGATCAAACTCCGGTGATAGAAGTGGTATGCCTAAAATATAAAAGCTATTTTATCAGAAAACTTACCATAATGATATATTCGTAACAAAACATGATTTCTGCCAAAACATATGTTTACATCTTCTATGCTATCTTCATCATATATTTTAAAAATATAATTCGGTTCTGTATAATATGATATAGTTTTCGAAAAGAAAAAAGTGTCAAATTATGACCAAAAAAATCAGTTTGACATAGCCTGTAAAAACTATATGCATGACAAAAGTAAATTATTATGTTGTTATATGACATCTGGTATGTTGCAAAACTAACCTATTTATCATGATTAGATGAAAAACTTCCTTTTAAGGAGCGCATTACCAGTGACCTTAGACTGGAACACAGAAACAGTTTGAAATTGCTGTTTTGAATTGATCTTATGTGATTAAATTTCGACAAGAAATACGTAACTTACATCTAACAAGCAATGTCACGTTTTTTAAAGATGGTTTTATATTGTATATGTTGTGTGCTGCACATTGATAAACACCACCATCAAGACAAGAGTTGACTCTATAAGCAGAACTTAAGCTGTTTGTGGATTCACTGCGCACCAGTTCTCTTTGTTTTAATGATATTGCTATTGATGACACTGGATTACTGTCAACACTGCATATAAAGAGGACAGTTTCGTTTTCAGTGACTTCGAAATGTTTTCTCCTTCTTTTAAGATCAGTAACACTGAACTGTAATATCTTACTTCTATCTGCATAATAGATACAGTTTCGAAATTTATTTCACTATTTTAGTAATAAAGAAGTATAACGGTCAACACTTGATAACCCATTCGAATATTGAATATTAAATATATGAGACTACATCATATGTAATAAATATGACCACTAAATGTGAAGAAAATTTTCATTATCATTTCGATTTACTTAAATGTAAATAATTAAATGATATATAATTCTGTACAAAGCCGTTGAAAAACACATGTGTTTATAAGAAATAATAATAAAAAGAAATTTAAGCAGCAAGTGAACGTATTTACAATTGAAGTTATAAAAACAATCAATTTACATCTAACATCTATGTCAAGGCTTGTCGTCGATTGCGTCATATATTTGTCATTTTTTGAAAACCTTCGAATCACGTTTTTCGCAATACATTCATACAATCCGGTGTTTTCTTTTGTTATATTTGTAAACGTTAGATTTTGAGATTTTGCATGATTTTCAATGTTCCATGTGCATGTCGGAGGAGGATCACCATCGGATCTACATTGAACAGTAAAACTGCTTCCTTCCTTAACGAATAGTTTATTATGTTGTAATTCACCATCACTTGCAATTTTATTTTGATCGAAAAATAGAAGCAATGGCTCACTAGGAGGATCTGAAAAATTGAAAACATTAATTCGTTCTTTTAAAACAAATTAACAAGAAATCGAAACTATGAAAACTATAAATATCACATCAATTAACAAAAAAAAAAAAAAAAAAAAAAAAGACAATGAAAATTGAAATATATAAACTGTCGCATGAGATATATTCAAGTATTTTATTATTTAAATTCCGGGTTTATACAAATCATTGAAATACACTATCGCAGGAATTTGAGTCACCACTTGGGTTCCGATGTGACAGCAATGACCTATTAAAATTGTATTGAGTTTGTATAGAATATGCGATGTGCATTAAATAATGGATTACTTGTTATAATAAACAGAACAAGTTTGTATTAATTCATAAGAAAGAACGAAATAATTTTAAAAGAATACTTTTATGTATGAAAAAATTATATTTATTTCAACATTGCAAAATTATATGTTGACTAATTGAATTCAAATTTAAACAAACTTATATGGTATTTCAATTACTATGGTATAATTTTCAACACGAGAGCTATTATTTTAACAGCCTATAAACTTAATCTCTCGGTCCAGCTACTTGTATTATATGCATGTAAATTGATAATAAACAAAATAGTTGCCGGAACATGTAACAAATGAATATCTATATACTCCAATATTTATATCTGTAAACTGAAACAGTATTCAGAAAAGTGCATATTGTCAACATAATTATGACTTGAGTGAATTAATTAACTGATTGACTCTATATTGCAAATAACAGGAACATCAAGTATCTGCTTTTGATATTAGAAACATTTTGATGCTTAGCGACATGTTTAATTGGTACATACAGCACGTATTTGCACTTACATTGGACATGAAGTGTTACTTCAGTTTTTATTATATTTGATACTTCGTTTGCTGATTCACAAATTATCCGTGTATCATTGTCCCCTCGAAGTGGTTTCAAATCAATGCTGCTTTGTGCAAGTAGCATACCATTTCTAAGTTTAGTTACTTTATATTTGGCATTATGTGTAAGATCTGTTCTCATTTCTGTCTTAGATACTTTAGTCCAAGTAATGTCAGCAGCAGGTCGTCCTTCAGATGTCTCACATGTTAACGTTGTTTCCACATGTTCTACTGTCTCTATGATATTGTCGGAACTGTTTCCAATTTTCACGTATTTGATGGGAACTGAAAAAACAGAAATTTCTAAACTCACTGCTTATGCAAGGGATAATCCATGAATACCGGATTTACCAATAAGTGCAATAATGTTTATTAAAAAATCATATAACAAACACCATAATAATGCGTAATTTATTATTTGTATATAGGAATTGCAACAATTAAACATATTATGACAACAACATGCATACGGCGCAGCCTAAATGCTGTCAAAACGTCATAAGTAGCGACGTCAAAAACATCCAAAGCTGTTTACAAATTCCGGGTTATGTTAGATCATCCCTCGTATTGTATTTATCTGTCAAAAAATCAGAACAGTAACTATAGGTATATTTCGATGCAAAAAACATGTATCGCCTTTTTACCCGGTTGTATTATAGGAAAGTCCCCGACGGGATGACAGACGGTTTGGCAGGTGGGTGTTTGGCGTCAAATTTGTTTGGAGCATATCTCCTACATATACAGAGGGATTTTATAAAAACTACATAGAATTGTAGGTGTGCAAAATTCAGGTACCTGTGGTCAAGGTCAAACATATGGGTCAAAGATCAGATAAAAATATGAAAATGTGTATTGGAACCACTGAGTCATCATTTATCGAGGGATTGTAATACATATGGTCATTATCATGGCTTAATCGGTGATACTTGCTTTTTTTATATCAATATATGCAAGGTCAAGGTCACTAAAGATGATAAAAGAAATATTGATTTTGTCTGAAACCCATCTCCTACACGCCTAGGGGGATTTTAATGGAACTTTATAGAATTGTTTACTTCTATGAGAAGCGATAAGCTTGTCCATAAACCAGGTATGTAAGTTTTGAGCAAAATTTATACATGCATAGGTTGATTTTAATTTAACTTGGTACACATGTTCACCATTGTAAGACAGATTGTCAAACGCAAAATTCATGATCCTGCGGCTTAGGTCAAGGTCACATTTAAGGGTCAAAGTTCAGATATAAAATTGAAGATGTATAGGGACAATTTAGTCATCAATTATTGAGGGATTGTAACACAAATGGTCATTATCATGAATACCGCCATGGCACTTGTATATTAGGTCAATTAACGCAAGGTCAATGTCACTAAAGATGATAAAATATCTGAATTTTGTTTGCAGCATATCTCCTTCATACGTGGAATATTTTCATGATACTTTATAGAAATATTCACTACAATTAAGTGTAGTGCTTCATACATGATGCAGGTCAAATGTAAGGTCACTTTTAGAGATTATTGCTATGTATATCTATAATGCCCTCATGTCCATCAAAAGCTTTTATGACGGGCGTATTTTGCGACAATTTTGCCCTTGTTGTACTTTGAAAATGAATAAACGATGGCAACAGAAATTCTTACCTTTAACATTGATATTTGCAATACTACTCATATTAAACTCATCAAAACAATACCATCCTTGGCCATGGTGACGGACTGTTAACCGTTTGATTTTTACTTTAAAGGTGCCATTACTATAACAACTTATTTCATAATTTCGATCTTCAGCAAGGAACCCGTCTGTTGTACAAGTCCCATTTGGCCCAGAAAACATGTATGAAAACTTGTTTTCATCGTTGACTATACCCCATTTGGAAAAAATTGTGTTTTGAGGAGCATAACACGTCAATTCCAAAGTGTTGTTTTCCATTTCATCACTAACAAGCGGTGACAGAATCGGGTTTTCTGATGACAGACCTGTAATAGCAATTTGAATGTATTGGCAGTTAAAAATAAGAAAGAAAGAAAGAAAGAAAGAAAGAAAGATAGAAAGAAAAAGAAACACATATAGGCTCTTTAATGGATATGGAACTATTTATAATACAATACAACTATTATCTTTGTAACATGCAACCATTATGGTCGAGTCTGGAAAATGTTGAATGTAACATAAATTTCTCTTTGGTTTATAGGGTATTAAGCAATATCTTATTAGGTTTTTTATCAGAGCTATCAACATTAAAATTTTACTTTAAGATCGAGTCTCGCAATAGTTGCCTTTGTTTTTACGCTTGAGTATTAAACGCGAACAGAATGATATGATCCGAATAAAACATTATAATGTTATTTTAATTAGGAATTTAACCATTAAACAATGATATTGTGCATGAACAATTTACATCTGATAAAAATATACTTCCTTATTTCATTCTCATGCAATCATAATGCAATCTCATACAATGGAAGGCAAAATAAATCAATTTCTTTGAATTTATGTACAGTAACTTTATTTTTATTTGTTTGGTTTAACGGCACATTGACACCTAACTGGCCATACCGGGTCAAAACTATAATTGTTAACTTTAGATTATTCATCCTAATAAAAGGTTATTTCAAGGCTATTAAATGATTTAGAGAAATGTTAAAATACAAGTTTATTCCTTTCATACATGCAAAGTGTAATGTAAACAGAATATTTTTTTCCGAAGAAAGTATAATGCTGCTGCTTGTCAACATTACTGACACCTAAACTTTATATTTACATGTACAGTGTAACTTCCGAAAACCGAACACCCATGGGACTTGTCAAAAAGTTCGGATTTCAGAGGTTTCCGGAATTCAGAGGTTTATGATAATGTGGACAAGACTAAGCCACTTAATATCACTAAATGTCAAGGAAGATGTGGCCATTACTGTAATATCATATATAGTAGTCTTTTAATCAAGATGAAGATGTGAATGAAAAGAATACATTTTTATCTTACACCTGCAAATGCTTTTGAATTTCTATCAGTTTGTAGAAATGTTGTCAATTGCATAAAGTTACATATCGTCCGATGCTAGTTAATTAATTATTACATCAAATGCAATAAAATCCCTAAAGACGTTTGATGCATACATTGTCCCAACTAATTGTGATTTAATCCGCTAATAAACACTTCAAATTAACTGACCGCGGTCAATTACTTTGATTAACCGCATCACTTTCACAGTTTGTGATTTTAACGCGTGTCAAATTACACGATCACCGCTAATTAGTACACAATCGATAGGGAGATTAAATCTTCCTGCAGGGTAAACATTCTCGATTTACAAGTATTTCACACCTTTGGATATTTCCGGTTTTCGTAGGTAAAATTGCATTGATTTGACTCTAATTTTACGAAAATATCGTCCGGAATTCAAAATTTAGAAGTTCCAGAATTCAGAAGTATTATATTAATAGAAAATAGAAGGGAAAAAATCGGGACCGAAAAAATTGTTCGGTTTTTAGAAGTTTCAGGATTTCAGAAGTTCCGGAATTCGGAAGTTACACTGTACAATATGTAGCCCATTTAGATGATGCAACATATTTTTTTTAGAAATGAAACGTACAAAAGTTTACCAAGCCAAGTAGAAACGCTCGCCAAAACATGTTCAATGCAACCTAAAATAATCAAAATGGTAAAGTATTAGTGAACAAATTCTTTAATAGTACGCCTATATGACTGAAATACTGTTGGGAAAAGGAGTAAAATGAAACAAAAAACTTTAATAGTAGTTATTAATACTATACATGTGTTTGTAAGAATGTCTTTTATAATAAGTGATTTACATGACTGTATAATTTAATGTCGTTTTAACAAATTCTGAAATACCGACGAATTCTTCGAAGCATGTAGAAGAGGTCACTAAACATGTAGAAGGTCATTAAACTTGCAAAAGTACATTACAAATGATATTTCAAAGATGAAAAATAAAAATGCAACATATAATTGCATCGAACTTACTACAGTTCTAAAGTGTTCTAGATATAATCTTTCATAGTTTCGTATTTGTATCTATTTCCGCAGTATTTAAAACATAGTTACACAGAAATAAATTCAAAGTCTGTAAGTTGCCTTGTTAAGCATTTCATATTGTCTGAGAAATAAATACATATGTTTAAACTACTTACTTTACACTAATGGTAAATATGATTTTTAAAATTGATATTCCTTGTCGATGAGAAACGTCAAAATACCGCAATTTACTAAATTTTAATAGAAACTCATGCCTGCACATTCTCTAGAGGAAAAATCAGTCAGTTAATAACCGGCAGAAACAGAGAACACACGTGATGTAATTGTATGCAATACTATGAAAGACGAGGGGGTACGAAATACTACGAAAAACGATTAGGGACAATTCTACTTCAGTAATTCGAAGTTCGTGAATTCATAATTTTAACATAACTGTGAATGCACGTTTTCATCATACATATTTCATGAATTCACCATTTCAATAAACGAGTTAAGTTTCCCGAATCATCAATTTTAACTTCATGAAGTCACGATTTTAACTTGGATTCTACTTCGTGAATTAACGTTTTGAGCGTCACGATTTTAACTTCACAAAATCACGATTTTAATTTAACGAAATGACGAGTTCAACTCCACGAAATTACGATTTCAACTAGTACGATATCAGCTCACGACATCACGATTTCAACTTCACGAAGGAATTTAGATACAGATGATATTGAACGAGTGTAAGTTTAATATTGTATTTATTGAACGAGTTGAATAAAATTATATTATGAGAGCCTCTGGCGAGCATGATATTAATTTATTCAACGAGTTCAATAAATTCAGTAATAAACTTAAATTAATATTATTTTTATCACATACCAAAAATACAGACCGTTTGAAGTGAAAAAGACACATTTTTCATTTACGCACCTATAGTATAACGCTTATATTAAGTGCGTCATAACACTATTATTATGTAACGCAAATGACGTCACGTCAAAAAATATTGCACGGCCGTGCAATACCATTTTTATGGTCTCGCAAAAGCTTCACGGGTATGTGATAAAACAATCTGTATTTTGGGAAGTTGAAATAGTGAAATTCAAACATGAATTCTTAAAAATAAATTCATGAAGTTTAAATCGTGAATTTGTGAAGTCGAAATTGTGAATTCATGAAGTTGAAATCGTGAATTTACGAAGTTGATATAGTAACGTTGAAATCGTGTTTTCGCGAAGTTTAATTCGTGAAGTTGACATCGGGAAATCATGATGTTGAAATCATGAATTCATAAAGTTAAACTCTTAAATTCGTGAAATCCGTATGTTGAAAACATAAATTCACGATCTTAAAATTCTGAACTCACGCAGATAACATCCAGAATTTATGAAGTTGAAATATCCCCACCGGTCTTTCGTAAAATTGACATATATTTCTTCAGTAGCCTGATCAATTGAACTTTTAATTGCACTTTCCGTTCAACAATAAGATTAAATAATTTCCTTTTTCATTATATTCATAAAAATGACACAACTTACACAGAATATCAATTATCTTTTTTATTATTCATACTGCAGTGACTAAGAGGTTGATGATTAGTAATTAAAATTGTTGAATTCAACAATGATGTTTTGTAATTTTCGAAACAAAGTAAAACTTAAAAAAATGATCATAATAAATTAATAAATATTAAAATTTAATACAAAAACTAGCTTCCTATTTCCACCAATCAACAAGCGTAGTTAAATTATCTTATAGGATGTTTTGATTTGCTTTATCAATCTTTTTGAATTCCTATTCCTACACAAGTTTGCTTATACAGTTTTCATCTAAAATATATTATAGTCCAATCAATTTCGACACAAACTATTTAAATTATAAGACAACATAAAAAATTTAAGTGCTGAAGGCACTGCAGTTGGGACGTTCTTGAAGTAGGTGCGTCATAAGATCAATATCAAAATAAACATTTTTTACTATTTCGGGGCAAATAATTTTATGAGTGAAGGGTGTTGCCGGTTGATAAATATAAAGTGCTCGATTCAGTAAATGAATATTAGTTCAATCAAATATTCTATGACATACATATTTAGTTTCTAACATGTAGGTCTATCAAAAACTGTAATTGGTCATTTTTGACAAGAGCAACAACTGAAGTAAAAGCTGCCAGAGGAAACTGCTTGCTCGACTATTTTAACACATACCATAATAAAGGGAGACAAAACTATGAATCAAATATCAATTATGATATAAGTGCAGTGTATATTTCTGTATCAGTAGCAAGAAAACACTCAAATTGTCAATATTTTGCATCACATTATATGAATGTGGCCATGTCATTAAAAATTATGATGGCTTTTTAACACTGTATCTGTCAAGCTTATCTCTTTCCATGTGTGAAGTTTGATTCAAATTTATTTAATATTTAAATACTCTCTCTGAGCAAGTATCATGAAATAATATAAAAGGAGATAATTAAAAAACTAAGTAATGTAGAATTTTGGTTATTTGACACAACACTTCTGCTCACTTGTCTCTACAACCGGGTTAAGTTTGAGTGAGATATCATTGAAAGTAAAAGAAGATATACTCCAGACAACCATTATTTTAAATTTTGATGTATTATCTGAGATGATAATTGTAAAAATAAGCTAGGAAAACATATGGTTTTTTGAAACTACACTTTCTTTCACTTGAATGTATTGGCTGTGTCAAATTTTAAACAAATTCCCTCAACTCTTTTTAAGCTTTTATGCGGACAAGCATTATTAAGCTCATGTATAATAAAGGGAGATAATTTAATAATAAAGCAATGTAGTTATGGTTCTTTGACACTTTGACAAATTCAAGTCTGTACAACTGTGTATAGTTTCAGTGATAGTTTGGAAGTTAAACTAACTAAAGCTTTTTTAACTTGTATTCACTCTCTTTTGGGAGCATGAATGAAAATAGAAGGGGGCTAATAACAACAATTTATTCTTGTTTCACTTCTCAGGTTTATTATTTTTCATTAAACCAAGAAAGTCAAGCTACATGTAATAACTTATTAAGTATGCTAGCTCCGAATGTATTTCATTGCTAAACATTACACATTATTTTAATGAATTGAAATGTGCAGTTATACAATCATGTATGTTACAGGACCTTTAATTTATAAAAGCTTTTGTTGAAATCAGTCAAAATATCACCATTAATTTAATATATCACTGCTTGGTAAGAGTGATGGTTTTGTTCGAAGCCAAAACAGCAAGATTTAACATTTTCCTCCAAGAAGACTAAAAGATAAATTGTGATAATTATACCATGTATCAACATATACAGATATAGGTGATAATGAAATTTAAAAAAGTTGTAAACTTTTTCAAAAGTCCTATAATTATGTCAAAATTGATGTCAAAAAAGCACTTTTACTGGCAAATCATGACATTTTAAATTATCTATGACTATTTGAAATGATAAATTCTAACGTACAGCATATTTAAGATGTGTGAAGTTGGCCGCTGGTATGTAGTGAAACATGTGTCAAGCTTGTCGTAATATTAGCAATAAGCAGATGACATATAATAACATGGTGAATCACCACAGACCTATATTTTACAGTCTATATCTATGAAATTTTCGAAGGGCTGACATGAATTGGTCGATTATCTCGAGATATAGTACCAATGTTTCATATCTTAAAATACCTTGACTTTCGAACTGTTTTCGTCAAAGTAATATGCTCCAGAATGAATCATACGAATTGTATCAATAAGATCTGTATGGCTTAAAGTAAATAAAGTAATCAATAAAGAAATGTTTATAGCTGCAAATCACAATAATTTGCGATACTAGTTTGGCACATATTTTGACCATATAAGCGGGATAAAGATTTTTGCAAGGAAAGGGAAACAACTCGCACAAAATAACCTATTCACACTTGCAGAGTTCTCGCCCCGACAATACATTCTGAAAATTTTGCACAATGATTATGTTAATATCTACATATAACTACCAAATACATATTTTATTCTAATATGATTGACATTCGTCTGTAAACATATATATATATATATATATATATATATATATATATATATATATATATATATATATATATATATATATATATATATATATATATATATATATATATATATATATATATATATATATATATATATATAAAGTGTACATTTTAATTTAAAAAACAATCGAGCCTTAAAATAAAGAACTAGGAATAGAAAAAATAGGAGTTAATCAACGTCTTGATATTTAGTTTTAACAAGCCGGTCAGAGATCTACACATGTCTAGACACAATTTTGTAAACGAAAGTCGGCAATGTCAGTACATCGCTTTACTCTTCGGTATATAGCCAAGGCTTGTATTCATTCCCGGGCAATTCGAATATCTGCTAACACTGATTCAGTTTAAATGAAACTTTAATGAATTTTTTTAAGTAGCTCAGGTATTTGAGCATCTTACACTGGTTTTCCGCTTTAATGAGTTTTTGCGGAGTTGTGGCCCTTGGATACTCATATTATACCACTTACGGAATTTAGATGAAACTTTACAGGATAAATCCGTAGCTCAAGTTCTTGTGCATCTTACACAGGCTTTCGCTTGAACAATTTTTCCGAGTTATGGCCCTTGAATAAAAAAGTGTTTGTCTGTGTTGCAAGCAGCACAGTAGCTTGTCTGGACCTCTTCCTCAGTACCACTGGTGCAATTTCATCCAAACCGTTCACGAATGATTAAAGCCATGTTTTGTTGCGCATCTGGCCGGCATTTTACAGTTAATATATTTGTGTCAAGGTCATGGTCCTTTATTCGTTTTTGATTTTTAAAATTGTCAAGAATACTCTTCTCATACCACTAATGAAATGTCAATGAAACTTTACAGGATTGGTCGGTAGGTCATCCATTTACACATATTTCTTGGGTTTTCAGCTTGATAAATTTTAGCGAGTTAAGGCCCCTAAATAAAAGACGCGTTTAGCATCGTAAGTGATCCGTGGGTCTCCTGCTACACAGTAGGTGCAACATACAATACAACTGGCTATCATAAGGTGACACATGTGATCACTGATTGCTCTTAGTTCAATTTAAACTTTGTAATATTTTTTTCCTCACTTTTTTTCTTTATGCCATTGATACACGATTCCTTATTGTTTTTTTTTTCTATCCACCCTACTTTCTCTAATTATACATTTTCTTTATACTGGAGAAAACAATTCATGTTTTTTTACTACTTAGATTTATTAAATAAACGCGATACATTTACTCTGAATCTGATACATTTAACATCAGTAATCAGTAATAAGTTCAGATCGGTTTAAATTTAAAGGGACCGTTATTTTTATATGCGCATACATATTATACATATTGACCTAAATTCTTTGGAATGATCGAAGAATAAAATATTAAACTAGTTAGATTATTTGTTCATTATTTTACTAGCATGTTTTCACCGCTTACCACCGTCTTTCCATGACCTTTTGTTTTAGGCCAGTACCTTCATTGGTCGAGGCATCAAAAATAGTCCAAAGATTCTGTTTCATCAACGGATTAAGATTGAATACGACACAGGTTGGATATAAAAGGACCTGTTCTGTGCATGTTTATAATGTTGAATATGATAGCCGTATGTTTGCGTAGAGATATCTATTTGACTATTTAAAAGAAAAAGACGAAAAAAAAAAAAAAAAAAAAAAAGAAACAACATCGTAATGAAATTGTGAATATGACAAAGGCAGATACGAATATATCATTGTTGGAATGATAATATTGCGGTAGTTGCTTAAAACAATTATAGTTTTAGCACACTTTCCTTATCATTAATTAAAGTAAATGTATGTTACTGTCTTGATACTTAATAAAGGTAACAAAGTAAACTTCAAATCAGTTCAATTGAAATGTAATGTTAACATTTTACTACCCTCTGAAGAAAGAGACTTGAATGAAGTGGCACAAGCTGGATCTTTTCAGCTGCATGATGATACTGTAGGCAATTCCATTTTGATACATTTGATGGTGACATTTGATGGTGTCATTTGAACAATGACGTAGAGATATTGCCTTATTAATTTGGATTTTCTTTTTATAAAAACGTATCTCCCTGCAATAATGGTAACACTACCTTTTAGAGTCACAACATGACATCACGTGTTTGCAATCAATGTTGAGTTGACACAATTTTCACTGTTGTGGTCATTGAAATTAAGTAGGACTACATCATATGTACAAAACGGTGGAATTTCCTCATTTGATTGTTGATCATTATGTATTAAAGCAATACGAAATATATATTAAATGTATAGTCTATTTTATGTACTTATTTATTTATTTATTTATTTTATTCATTTTTTGTTATATTTTATTTAATTTATATTTTTACTTTCAGAATCTACTTTCTGAACAAAAAGTGGTTTAAAGAATTGTTTGTTACCTGGACATTGTTCCCAACCAGAGTTTTGTTTAAGCCAGACAATGACTGTAAGCAAATATGTTTATTAATAACAGGATATCTTTTTTCGTTTGAGTGAAATATGGAATATGTTTTCACAAAAAAAATATAAAATGCCACAAATTTTCACGAGCTTAATCATTAAAGTTTAATTTAGCACCTAAATTTCACTTTCAAAGACGAAAATTATCATTTTTTGACGAGTGTTTTGTAGTATATACTAAAGTTTTCCGACGAACTCCTTACCAATTATCACAATAACTCCTGACAAGTTATCATAAGAGCTCAATCCTCCGCGTAACAGTTCCTCCCCCGAGAGTGTGTGACGCATTCAGATACGTATATATAGATAGGAGCAAAATATTTCGCAGCACTGTTTTTCGCTAGAATATGGAGGTAACTAAATGTGTGAAAATATTGAAGCGAAGCAATAAGGTTATAGTGGAGCGGGAAATTCCTGTCAAAATAGTGCAAATTGTGATACAAGCATGAAACTTTCAGGAAATCATCTTTAGACTATAGAAATGCAAAAAGTGAAGTGGGCCCATCCAAAATGGCCGCCATTTTCAAAATGGCTGCCTTATAAATTTGACATACATAATAGCTTATTCAGTGAATTTTTTTGTGCAGACCTGAAACTAACACTCATGTATAAAGTTTCTCCTTTACAAAAATTCAAATCTTGAACCAAATCAGCGTTCAGCCCTCTTCAGAATTCAAGATGGCGCCCATCTTAGATTGAGAAGAGGTATGAACGCGGAATTGTGTAAGATTTAAATTTTTGTAAAGGAGACGCTTCATACATGCTATCGTGTAAGTTTCAGGTCTTTACAAAAAAAATGACTGAATAAGTTATTTATGTATGTCAAATTTATATGGCGGCCATTTTGAAAATGGCGGCCATCTTGAATGAGCAGAGATATTTTTGGGCCCACTTCACTTTTGAAATCTTTGTGGTCTAAAGATGATTTCCTGAAAGTTTCATGCTTGTATCACTATTTTCAGTATCTTCTCAATTTCCCGCCCAATATTATCCGTGGTGAATGGAAGTGATTTTAACTTTGCACTAATTCTGTTAAATCTGTGTTCTAAGATGACGATAGGAGGACCTAATCTAAAAAGCAAAACTGCTGAAAGGGACACCATGTCATCGTCAGGATATGTACATAAAAGATAACCTGATGTCAAGAGAAACAATCTTATCCGTAAATTGTTACCTGTGTTTTTTAAATGATTATTGAATAAGCTTTTTTTAGCTGTTCAAATTACCCATGTATTGTAACGAAAATATACCTTATGCTTAACTTGGTTACCTCCCTTTTCTATAAATTCGCCATTTGCATTAAAAAATGTAGCAATGTATCTATAAATTCATCATGATATAAAGAGTAGGTATTTCAATCAGTTGTACTTTCAAATCTGATTAAAATAGGGGTATCATTCAAAGTGTTTATATTTGAAATTGTTCATCTATTGTTTCAGTAGTTCATAAGAAAAATATCTTTAAGTAACAGACGCTTATGATGTTTTGTTAAAAACAGTATCAAGAAATGTCTGTTTTTTATATGCCAATCAAATCATTGTTTTTTATTCACTGCGGAGATGGTGAATCACAAGTATAAATAGAGCAGGAGCAGCGCAAAAGAGTCAGTTAAGTTTTGTCCGTGAGGCAGATCAGAGCACTATTATATTTATTGGAACGCAAAATCTCAGATATCTGGTTCTAAAAATATCTTGCTGTTTCTGTGAAACCTCATGGACAAACGTTTGGAAGAAGAAAGTGTAAGAAATGGGTATTAAGTTTAGTCTGAATATGTATGTGTCTGGAAGGGAACACGTAGTAAATACATACTAGTATACATAAATCGCAGATATTTGGCATAAAGGTCGTTTTACTATTTCTGTCGAATCTCTTACTAAATGTTTAGTTTAAGTATTTTTGAGAAAAAGATATTTGACATTTATTTGGTTATGTCCTCGTAAGAGTCGAATCGTAATGATAGTAGCTTTTCTTGTACACAGAAATCTCAGATAGCTGGTAATGAAGTGTTTTATTGTTTCAGCAAGACCTCTCGGGTCAACGGTTGATTTGAAATATTTTGGTTGATGTTTAAGCTTATACATGTATAGTTACTAGTACACACATATCTTGGATATCTGGTACTAAGGATGCTATGTGTATAAGGCAAATGATTAATGAGGAACTATTTTGTATGAATGAAGTATTGAATTTTCGGAAAAAAATATATGATAAGAGATTGTTGAAAATAAAATCTGGGGAATGAGGGATAGGTTTACTTTTAGATTGATATCTGGTTGGGACTAATTTTTAAAAACAAATAATTTGTTATTGGAATAAATATTTTTGATTGATTTTAGAAAAAGATTAAGATTGTTATCATGAATTGAATGTTTTTTTTTAGTTATTTTCAAATCATAAAGTTAATAATCCCTAGAAAAATTACATGTATTTGCATTTAAAAATATCAAGATTAATAATCAACCGCTCCGTGCACGCTACAGTATTTCATGAGCACTTCGTATTTTCTTTTAATAAATGTAGTCTCAAACCCTTACGGACAACTCTAGTATTTGACCTATTATGATAAATATCATATTTTATTTATAACTTACTTTAACAAAAACTAATAAAATACTCTACTTTTACACATTTGGAAAAAGCAAGAAAAAGAAAAAAAAAGATTTACAAAACCACGTATTTGTTGTCAACAAAAGCAATGTAAAATTCATTTAAGAGGATTTTTTTAAAGTAAGAATTTGAGACACAAGTCGTTTTTCTTCATTTTTATTTTCAGTTCTATGTGATATTCTCAATATTGATCCTGGCATTTAGCACAACCTTCTTCGAATGCATAGGTAATCTACTTTTTTGTTTAGTTTCTTCTTCTCTATGGTTAAACTGAATTTTGGTATTGAAAGATAATTGAACTTTTAAAGATCCTGTTACACAATTTTTTATGATTTTAAATTATTTAAATGCTCAAATTAAGATTATTTATCAATAGTGTAGGTTCCAAAAAGCATTATTCATAAAGATATTTCCGAATTTAACATCTCATGCAAATAAAGGGAGTTAATAACAAAATTATTTTCTATATTCTATAAAGTTTAAGTCAAATTTTACAATAAGAAATGAATGCATATATTTTAATGATTACATATAATATGCACAGATATTTGCAGTATATATTTTACATATTCTTCGATGTTTGAAAGTTGTTCTATTTGCATAATTTTTTACATATATATAATTTCATTTAGTGTGGTTTACCACTTTGATCACAACATACAGGATCTTTAAACCCATGTATTCACAAAGTATGCAGGGGTTATATTTTGGCTAATAACATTGACCAGTGGACCTCTCAAAAGTAAAATAAATATTTCACCTACTGTCAAATCGGGCTGTAGCCCGGGATTCAATTCATTAATTTAAACTTGTAAAGTAAAAATGATTTAAAATATTTCTTTTTGAAAACTAAAATGTCTGAACCTGCAGCATTACGTAGAGATCTTCAACAAAATTGATATAAACAATGTTCCCAAAGCTGGCATCAAAATTGCCCCGGCTAGTTAATAGCCATTTTAGTCGCACAAACACAGTGTATGTCTGATATGGAATTTCCAGGTTGCCTGTTGGAAGAAGATCTCATGTGCAAAAAGGGTTTTAGTATTTTTGTGATACTTCAATGCAAAGAGCTTATATTGGCATGTAACTTTGTGTAATGGGTCTCTCCAAAGGAACCATAAACGGCAAGGCCAGGCGTGTAGACATTTAGTATGATGCATCACCAAGTGTTCTTATACAAAAGTAATATAAAATCATGCTCCTAGCAAAATTGGTCCCGCTCCGTGTGTTGTGGCGGTCACTGAGTTTATAAAGACTTGTAAAGGAAAATAAGTTCATTCTTGCCTTTTCTAATGAAACTTACAAAATTGTTTTTTTTTCTACAAAAGTTATAAATTTATCCCCTCGGGGTCAAAAATGACCCAATACTTGTGTTCACTTATTTTCTTCTACTTAAGGGCATTAAATATTTCCCTTTTAGCATCGCCTTTAAGTCTTTTTCAAAGGCTATAAATCAAAGCCTTAAGGACAAAATTGGCCCTATCCCGGGGGTCACTTTTATAAAGACTTATATAGAAATATTTTTTGTGAAACAACAGTGCTTAGAGGTAAGAAGTTTGACGAGTAGCATTGCCTAGTGGACCTCAATAAATAAATATAAGTCTTTATATAAGTGGAATGAGCATTGCATCTTTGGTCAGGAATGATCCCGCTCTAGGACTCGACTTATTTTACGTAGACCTTGTTAAATTGTAAACAATGTCTTAGAAAACTTGTTCTTGTTCTAAAATTACAATCCCAAGAGCTTAGGTATTTTGCATTAAAAACATCTCTCCTTTTCAAACATTACATTGATTATGCCCCACGAGTAAAACTGGTCCTACATGGGGTCATTTAGTTTAAATAAACTTGATTAGATAGGAAAATACATGACAGTCTTCTTTTTCATAAACTTTAATTTAATGAGTTTAGATTTCTGGCGTACATGGTATTGCCTATTTGACTTCTAAGCAGGTTAGGTAAGTCATGCCACTGTGGTTAAAAATAATGCAACCCTAAAGGTCGCTTAGATTAAATAGCCTTGTAAAGTTCTTCCTTAAGAGCACACTTCCAAGAATTTAGATATTTGATATTTTGCATTTAGCATCATCATGTAGTCATCAATAGAAGTTACATAACTCATGTTCCTGGGGTCGAAATTGACCCGTGGGTTATTTTGTTTACATGAAAGTGTATAGTAAATAGACAAATCAAACATTGTTATAATTTAAATATAATATTTAAATGTTAACTTATGTGCCAATTTCCGAGTTTAAATTCTGCTTAAATTAGACCAAATAATAAATGTGTTACTTATTGGTCACTACAAGCCTCACGACCTGGCTACCAAATTATTATGCCCCCTACCCCCCTTCGAAGAAGAGGGAGTATTTTGTTTTGCTATTGTCGGTCGGTCGGTCGGTCTTCATATTTCACATACTGATTGGCCATAACTAGTGGATGACTTTTCTGGATTTTGGGGTCACTAGGTCAAAGGTCAAGGCCACATGAGCCTTAAATATCAGAATGGTTTCCGCTGATTATCTTGAAAACTATTTATCACTTAGCCTTCATATTTCACATAGTGATTGGCCATAACTTGTATATGTCTTCTATTGATTTTGGGGTCACTAGGTCAAAGGTCAAGGTTGACAGGGGCCTTAAATGTCAGAATAGTTTCCTTTTTGAAAGCTTTTAATCACAAAGTCTTCATATTTCACATATTGATTAACTTGTAGATGACCCCTATTGATATTAGGGACACTTTATCAAATGTCAAGGTCACAGGGACCTTGAATGTAAGTATGGTTCCCGTTCACTATCGTGCAAGCTATTTATCACATTTTTTTGATATTTCACATAGTGAGTGATCAAAAACTAGTAGGTGACCCCTATTGATTTTGGGGTCACTAGGTCAAGGTCAAGGTCACAGTGGCCGTGAATGTTTGTATTGTATCCGCTTATTATCTTGAAAGCTATCTACTATAAAGTCTCCATATTTCACAAACTGATTGGTCGTAACTAGTAGATGTCCCCTATTGATATTGGGATCTCTAGTTCAAAGGTCAAAATCACAGGGGCCTTAAATGTAAATATGGTTTCCACTTTTTACTTTGAAAACTTTTGATCACAAAATCTTCATATTTCACATATTTATTAGTCATAATGTGGTCACTAGTTCTAAGGTCAAGGCCTTCATATTTCAAATATTGATTGGTTATAACCAGTAGGTCATTGTCTTTTTTTCTAATACTGAACACTTCTGTTGTAAAGTTGGATTCCAACTACAACAGGTTATATAATAATTACATAATATTGTATAATATTACTCAAGAAATAAATCATATACAATATTCATATATATTTTTCAAGAAATATTAAGGATTTAACCTTTAACTTAGATTTAAGTTTATTTTAAAGTTTAATCATTGAACATGTATTGTTTTATAGACATTTCATTCTTATCATTCATTAGTTGAATTTTGATTATAGTTTGTAGAACTTATTGATACACTTTTTAACAGTAACTTAGCATGACCTAAGACTCTTTATATATAACATATAGAGAAGAGAATGGTTCTACTTTTACTTATACTGGCCTTAAAACTTAGTGGGATACAAGTTACTGATTTAGCATTCATATATGTTTGTAAATATTTTTAGTTGATATTAGTTTCTAGTTTTATTGTTTAGAATATTTTTGTAAAAGTTTATTACTTTATTATTTTTGTGATCATGGTCAATTGATACTGTTGCAAAATTTTCCATGAATCATAATCCATTTTTAGGATAGTTATGTAAAGTCCTAATGAGCACTGATTTGGCCAAATTCCTTGACCAATCAGAACAGTTCTGCATTTTTACTGTTCCCACAAAAGTGCTGGTTCCCAGTAGTGTGCATAAATACAGGCACTTTACACAATTTTGTCATTCTGCTGCTAATTTTTTGGAAATGTATCATCTCTAACAGCTCTCTAAGGTTAATTAATTAATTATTTTATTTATTTTAGGCACTTTGGCATTTAAATGAACCTTAGAGATTATCTAAATTTACTAAAACACTTTTGATATATTTATAAGTAATTTTAGTAATTATTTTTTTCAGAATTAATTAAGATTAATTAATATCTTTTCTTTGTTTTAAGTGGCAGCCATCTTGAATTATTAGATCTTTATTTTTGTTCATATAGATTAAAACAAGGCTTGCTACTATTAAGATTAATTAGTTCAATAGCACGGAATCATTTAGGTTAGTTTTCATATTTTCAGTTTAAACATTTTAACAACTTTCAACTTATTCAAATCTTCTATTCAACTAGTTTATTCTGATTTTAATATTTTTGGTTTAAATAATAACTGTTTCTTTTTAGTTCACATTGATAACTTGTTTAGCTTTAAGTAACTTTTAGTTAAGTGTAAATAAAAGCTTAGTTCATTAAAAATTTGGTTGATTTAAATTTATTCAACATTTGTGTTTTATTTCCCTTTGCATTCAAAGGGTGGTGTCATCCTGACGATTAGATTTTTCCCTATTCAAGAGTACTCCTGAGCAAACTAAGAACATTAGGTAATAAGTAACTAAATTCTATTTATAGAAAACATAAGGCTTTCAATTTTCAACACCACAACAATGGTGCCAAGTGGGATAGAGGCCTACTTCAATTTTTAGAAACACCTATTAACAATATAATTTTTTCATCACCACAACACTTCCATGTACCCCTTTATTGAAGTTTCTATAACAAAATTACAAACAACGAGAGTCAATGGCTAGAAAGGAGGGCATATGTGTCGTTCGACATTTCTTGTTTAATTTAGCTTTTGATTGTGATAACGCTGTTATCATTATCGAGTTTGACATATATTTAGGCAAAACGGCTCTTTTGACAAAATTAACATTTCCTTTGATGTGTGCATTTATTTTGCTTCAAGTTAAAAAAAAATCGAGTATCTTTAGAATATTTTTTACGATAAGGTATGTGCTTCTCATAGAGAAAACAGTAAGCATTGTAACTTAAATTAGTAAAATTCTATTGACTTTAGTTAAATTTTTTTTTTTGATTTTATCGAATATAAATGTTTTGCCGAGTAATTTCACAGTTTAAGTTACTTCATTGTTATATTTTTTGCTAATAAATGTCATATGTTTAATTTGAATTCAGGAGCAAACATTTTTATTAAGAAAACAGACAACCAGACTGATGAGATAACTTTTGAATGTGGCGAAAATAAAACATTAACTTGCATGTTTAAAAAAAACAAAACAATTGAATGGATGAATAAAAATAACTCAAGGGCAATAGCAATGTGTGTTCTAAATACGTGCACGTTAAATCCTGATTATGGTGGACAGTACAGCATTTCAGCCGATATGCAACGAAATATTTTTAATTTAACAATACTAAAGATCACTAGGAAAGACGATGGAAGAAGGCTTGTTTGTTCGGATGGTTCTCATACTGATTCTGTATTATTAAGAGACATAGGTAAATATATGCATTTCATTAACTTACCTATATTCTGTTTATATACTACATGATGTGCAACTTACGATGTGTGTGTGTGTGTGCGTGTGTGTGTTGGTGTGTGTGATTGTGCGTGTGCGTGTGTGTGTGTTTTGTCTAGACTTATTGACATATATTTATTATAAGCAATCAATGTAAATATTCCCTCGGTAAGATTCTGCATTTAACCCTAATGCATTTAATATATGTATAGATACGTAGATATGACACTTTCATCCTTTAATTGAAAAAGATAAAAATATTATACCTGATGCTTAAGTGTTTTTGGTTCAAACACAGATGCATTGATAATAACCTTGCCTGGGGTTTTAACTTTTTCTGTGGCAGTGAAATGAGGGATAATTGTAACGACACATCATTGTTTCAACATTTTAATTTGATTGAAACTTGAAAGATATCGTAACAGTTTAACTACCATAAACATGTAGCAAATATTAAAAGCATCCATGCTGAAAAGTTAATTTACTCGATCGTTCTACTTAATTTTAAATATGACCACGTTTTCAACACATCTCATTACTTTGTATAATTCATAATTCCAACAAAACGAATGCTATTTCTTTAAGAAAGTTTATGTATCATGGATATTAGCTATTTGTAAACGTTAATAACGACATTTCTTTTACAGACTATAAGCCTCAGATTTTTGAAGATACACATTCTGGGACAGTAAAAGTGACATCTGGCTGTGTTTCCCAAAGAACAAAAGTTTCCTTTAAGTGGACAAGGGTATATTTTTCTTTTCTTTAACTACAAATACAAGTATTTTAAATGAAAGTATTTCCATCTGTGATCCGAGTTTCGATTCCATCTGTTGTTTGTAATGTAAACTCCTTGTTGGCTTAAAAGGAGATACAAATGACGTTTGAAATCAATTCTAAATTAAAGTGTATTTCAATTTAGACTTAAGTTACTTTAGAAAAACATTGTTGAGTTTATTTGGAAAAGAAATGTCTTGAATACATTAATAATGACTTTTTGATTATTTAATTAAATTGACAAAATATCAAAGATAATTTTCCGAGCACAAAATGTAGTTGGCAAATTAAAGGTTCATTGTATAAGATCTTGTGCTATTAGCCGCATTTTGTTTCTTTTCACATAAAACCCCTCACAACCATGCGCGTGAAATGTTCAGAGGGCAATTATAGCTATGGTGACAATTTTATCCAAGTATGTGCTTTCATTTTATAAAGCAATAAATATATAGAGGATTCAATAAATGTAAATATTAGAAACATATCACGCGTCCCTGCAATATAAAATACTGAATATATAACGCGTTCCTTGTTTCTTTTAGAAAATCAACACTTTTGAAGAAGAATTCTTTCCACAACTTCAATCCAACTATTCAACAAACTGTTCAAGTGATGTTGATTGCAGGCATTACCAGCATATACGATATACGGAGATTGTTTATGTGACAGCAAATGAAGTTGGGAAATACCATTTTAAAATAGTAGCGGTGCATGGGAATAAAAGCAAAGAATCAAACATTGTTGTTGAAATGTACATCATCGAAAGTAAAAGTAATGTTTACATATTGTATCCTTCGGCATTGTTTTCTAATGCGCCTTCAGTTGTTTTATTATTAAAGCTGCATTTAAAATAAGGATTATTTAAGCATAGCTGTTTTAAAGAAACATCCGTTCTGATTTTAAATCATACGTATAGATCTAAATGTGTTCATGAAGTAATATGTTTTATAGCATTGTTGTCGAATCTTTATATAATTAAACGATAATTAGACTTAAATAATAGGCGTTTTTTAAGTTCAATGTGCAAATATTAGATATAGTTATAGTTATTTTCCGCTCAATTACTGACTTTTTTCTATCAAGATGTAAAGGCACTCACAAATTTATGGTTTTGTAAGAAAATGTTTTTTTTCCCGAAAAGCTGAATTAATGTATTTTAAAAGTATATGGCATTTAAGGTAAAGAAAAAGTAAACAATGTATAAATTATAAAGCTAAAAAATATATGGTAAAATGAATTAATATATGTATTTTTGTTTCACAGGGGAAAACAATGGTAATCTTCTGATCGAACACATTGTCGTGATTATTATAGCAAGCCTCATACTGATCTGTATGTACGTATGTTATATTATATATTTTCAACACCATATATACTAAGCTATAACATTACTGCGTGATTATTGAAATGTAGGAAACATGTCGGTTTAGTCTTTTAGTGACCTCTGAATATTCATAATGTGTTTATCTGTACTGTGTACTTGAAATATTAATTTGAGAAAGATGATTCAGATGCCTATTAAGCCTTAAAAAATGATAATATTTTCATTTTCCATTCTTTTTCTTTCATTTTTTCAAATCATTTTCCAAAGTGTTTCTCAATGGCCATTTAATTGAGCAGTGTTTTTTTTTGCTTTGGTGATAAGAACATTTATAGTGATTTAGTATTTTGTATTGAAGTCAAAATACCACTCTGTTTTCATTTTTCAAACCGTTATGAGTAATTATTTCACATTCAACGCTATTTACTTCATTTATAAGCATTTATATCGGTCAACATCCATAAATACATTATTTATAAAATACAAATTTGCCTTTTCTAAAGATAAGCACAATTGCTGAGGCTTAATGTCCCCTTTAGTGTATGATAAAATAATAAGTGTTAAAAATGTGCCTGTCTTTCCTAAATTTCTGTCGAGTTCTGATACTTTTAAGGACACCTAGTCCAGTATATTGGCATAAATCAAAGCTTTCAACTATGGCACATAATGAGAATAGTTTGTTTCTGTTTTATAGCAGTGTGTTGCGTACAAGATATGTTACAAGAGCTCATGAAATGAGATGTTATCTCAGTCAATTGCTTCTTAAGATAAAGCGATTGTGTAATTTGACGTTATATCATTTTAGTTTCGCTTTTCACAAATAACATCGTTTATATCTTTATTCAGCTATATCGCGATTCAAAGGAGGAGAAACTCACATCAATATCGTCAGGTTGATACTGCAGATGACAACCCGTCCGCACAAGAAGGTACAATAAACGATCAAGACAATACCGCCAATGGAATCCCAAATAATGGCAACATTCGAAATAGTCCGGCTCCTACTGCAGAAGACAACCCGTCCGCACAAGAAGGTACAATAAACGATCAAGACAATACTGCTAATGGGCTCCCAAATAATGGCAACATTCGAAATCGTCCGGTTCCTATATCAGAGGACAACCCGTCCGCACAAGAAGGTGCAATAAACGATCAAGACAATACTGCCAATGGGCTCCCAAATAATGGCAACATTCGAAATCGTGCGGTTCTACTGCAGAAGGCACCCGTCCGCACAAAAAGGTACAATAAACGATCAAGACAATACTGCCAATGGGCTCCCAAATAATGGCAACATTCGAAATCGTGAGGCACCTACTGCAGAAGGCAATCCGTCCGCACAAGAAGGTACAATAAACGATCAAGACAATATTGCTAATGGGCTCCAAAATAATGGCAACATTCGAAATTGTCAGGCTCCTACTGCAGAAGGCAACCCGTCCGCACAAGAAGGTACAATAAACGATCAAGACAATACTGCCAATGGGCTCCCAAATAATGGCAACATTCGAAATCGTCAGGCTCCTACTGCAGAAGGCAATCCGTCCGCACAAGAAAGTACAATAAACGATCAAAACAATACTGCCAAAGGGCTCAAAAATAATGGCAACATTCGAAATAGTCCGGTTCCTTCTGCAGAAGGCAACCCGTCCGCACAAGAAGGTACTATAAATGATCAAGACAATACTGCTAATGGGCTCCCAAATAATGGCAACATTCGAAATCGTCAGGCTTCTACTGCAGAAGGCAACCCGTACGCACAAGAAGGTACAATAAACGATCAAGACAATACTGCCAATGGGCTCCCAAATAATGGCAACATTCGAAATCGTCAGGCTCCTACTGCAGAAGGCAATCCGTCCGCACAAGAAGGTACAATAAACGATCAAAACAATACTGCCAAAGGGATCAAAAATAATGGCAACATTCGAAATAGTCCGGTTCCTACTGCAGAAGGCAACCCGTCCGCACAAGAAGGTACAATAAACGATCAAGACAATACTGCTAATGGGCTCCAAAATAATGGCAACATTCGAAATCGTCAGGCTTTAACTGCAGAAGGCAACCCGTCCGCACAAGAAGGTACAATAAACGATCAAGACAATACTGCCAATGGGCTCCCAAATAATGGCAACATTCGATATCGTCAGGCTCCTACTGCCGAAAGCAATCTGTCCGCACAAGAAGGTACAATAAACGATCAAGACAATGCTGCCAAAGGGCTAAAAAATAATGGCAACATTCGAAATAGTCCGGTTCCTACTGCAGAAGGCAACCCGTCCGCACAAGAAGGTACAATAAACGATCAAGACAATACTGCTAATGGGCTCCAAAATAATGGCAACATTCGAAATCAACAGGCTTCTACTGCAGAAGGCAACCCGTCCGCACAAGAAGGTACAATAAACGATGAAGACAATACTGCCAATTGGCTCCAAATAATGGCAACATTCGAAATCGTCAGGCTCCTACTGCAGAAGGCAAACCGTCCGCACAAGAAGGTACAATAAACGATCAAGACAATACTGCCAATGGGCTCCAAATAATTGCAACATTCGAAATCGTCAGGCTCCTACTGCAGAAGGCAATCGGTCCGCACAAGAAGGTACAAAAAACGATCAAGACAATACTGCCAATGGGCTCCCAAATAATTGCAACATTCGAAATCGTCAGGCTTCTACTGCAGAACGCAATCCGTCCGCACAAGAAGGTACAATAAACGATCAAGACAATACTGCTAATGTGCTCCAAAATAATGGCAACATTCGAAATCGTCAGGCTTCTACTGCAGAAGGCAACCCGTCCGCACAAGAAGGTACAATAAACGATCAAGACAATACTGCCAATGGGCTCCAAAATAATGGGAACATTCGAAATTGTCAGGTTCCTACTACAGAAGGCAATCCGTTCGCACTAGAAGGTACAATAAACGATCAAGACAATACTGTCAATGGGCTTACAAATAATGGCATCATTCGAAATCGTCAGGTTGCTACTGCAGAAGGCAATACGTCCGCTCAAGAAGGTACAATAAACGATCAAGACAATACTGCCAATGGGCTCCCAATAATGGCATCATTCGAAATCGTCAGGTTGCTACTGCAGAAGGCAATATGTCCGCACAAGAAGGTACACTAAACGATCATCCGGTTCGAGATACCAATGTAGTGCCCCAAGGAATTGTTCAAACAAGGGTCAAAGGATATGAACCTAAAATATAGTCATCTGTAATATATGAAAATTTAAATGGTTTAAAAATGAAAGAACAAACTAATAAAACAAAGAAAATGCTATATTATATTGATATTATCAATGTTTTATTCCGAGTGGCAAAATGTTGTTTTTTTTTTTTTTTTTTTTTTTTTTTTTTTTTTTTTTTTTTATTCAAATCACAAATATATTTCAACACACAGTAAAGCACGTGAAAGAGCCAGAAAATTAAACCTCAAATCTTATTTAAGTTAGCGTTTTGGTTTTCATTATAAATTCATGTTTTATTGAAGCAGAAAACTTTATACATTTCAACACTTAATTCAATACGACATAGTTGACTTTTATAGACGACGTTCAAATGGCTGTCTTTCATTGAGATTCATGTTTGATTTAATCGAATCGCTCAACATTTAAACAGGCACTCAAAATGTATTTCATCAATGATAACGTTATGGTCCTCTTATATGTTATGTTTCCATTTCGGCTTGCTAAATTCGATTATAAAGGGCGTATGCATGGTAATAGAACAACCACATCCTGCAGCAATTGCATACGATTAAATTGGTTTTCGATATGATAATTATCATTGCCTATCATCTTATTTGTTTCAATGCTCACTATTATTTAGTTAATTTGAGCTCGAACATGTTTTGTTTTGTATCTTTATTGATTTTGCACAGGCGTTTGGTTCATTGTGGCGGGTAGGACTCTGGCAAAAAATTCTTGAATATAATAGAAATGGCAAGTTCTTCCGACTGATTAAAAATTTGTACCAAAATGTAAAATCGTGCATCTCCCTAAATGGTGAAAACAGTAATTTCTTTTCATGTAATTGTGGGGTCCGTTAAGGGGAAAATCTTTCACCGGTTTTATTCAGCCTATTTCTTAATGATTTAGAACAATTCTTGGCAGAAAAGGTCACACGGGAGTGAAATTCATTGATATAGAACCAAACATAGATACTTTTTTAAAAATATTGATACTTTTCTATGCAGATGACACAATCTTAGTAAGTGATGATCCAAAAAAACTACAAAATTGCCTAAATGATTTTGCCGAATACTGTAGAATCTGGAAATTTAAAATCTATGTTAGTAAAACTAAAGCAATGGTAATTGGATCACATAATGACAGGAACTTATCTTTTAAAATAAATGAAGCACCAATTGAAATAGTATCAATAATATCAAATATATAAATATATGTTTGAAATGCCAAATTTTGAATCAAAATGGATAAAAGGAATAAAAAAACATTTTAAATGAAATAGGGCGAAATGATATTTGGAAAAATCAAAATAACCTCCAAAGTCAAAATTTGGGAAAAAACAGTAAAACAAATATTATTGGACCAGCATTATCAAAACTGGCTTCTATGCAAGTCTCAACTAAAGGACTAAATTATTCAATTTTCAAAGAGTCAATTAACCTTGAGGGCTATTTACTTAATTAAAAAAAGTCTGACTGGCTGTCTTTAATAAAATTTAGATGCGGCAATCATTACTTCCCATGTGAAACTGGAAGGTGGCAAAATATAGACTATAATGAAAGAATATGTCAACTGTGTTTAAATGAGAATAGTACCCCAGAAATAGGAGATGAGTTTCACTATTTATTGACCTGTCCCTTTTTTAATCAGACTACAAAATTATACAGTAAACCTTATTATTTAAGAAGATGTATTACTCTTAAATTTAAAGAGCTACTTAATACACAGTCAAAAAAGCTATGTACATTTATTAAAATTATTTTAGAAACGGTTAAACAGTAAGGAATCACATGAATATTTTCTCTGTAAAAATGGTAATACTGTCTGTCATAGGATCTGTACACCAATACTGTATTAAAGTTTTATTTATTCCATTTGCTTTTCCTCGAAACTGCTGTCAGTATAGTTGATCAGTTTTAATATACAAGTATTATAATCTTTTTTCATCTTTTTTTTGTAATTAATGCAAACTGTCACTTCATTGATACAGATTAACTCATATGGTCATTTTCTATTCTATTTTTTCATAGGTCAAGCTTTTTTCCTTGACTTCTATAGTTCTAGTTTTACAGTATTGAGTACATTTTTTTCCTCATGCTGAATATAGGTCAGGTTTTGTTTTGTTTGTTTTTTGTTTTTCATTAGATCTAGCACATTTTTTTTCTTATGTTGAATATAGGTCATGCTTGTTTTCATTAACATTTTACACCTGTCAATATGCCTATATAGATGTAGTTTATCAGCTGTATACAATCAAATTAATCCTTTTCCACGAGTATACAATAGCTATGCACATTCTTATTTAATTGATGTTTACATGTTCTACTTCTGTGAAGACACGTGACATTATCAGGTTATGACATTTCTCAGTCTTCTGCTAAATTTTCTAAACTGATACTTTTATGATCAAATGGTGAATACTTCCAGATGCTTCGAAACATTTTACATCCATCTTTCGAATATTTAAACTAATCATTCGTTGATAATCGTATATTAATTAATATATCTTACTTAACACATTTTACGCGAAGTTACCTGGTAAGGCTTTACACAGCGGACGATTACACTACCTTTTGGGTATAGCGCGGTTTCGATGCAGCGATTTAATTCAGGCTGCACAAATACAATAAGAATAAACTCTGTTTCTTTTAAAAACAATAAAAAATGGTGTTAATAGTGTTCAAAATTCACATAAC